ATGCCTTACGTCACAGAAGAGAGCACCTTGCCAGGATTAGGGGATCAGGCAGTTGTGTTAGATTTGTCTGTTGCAACTTGAAACCTTGGAACTTATCCCGAAGGAGCTGTCGATGAGCTCTGGGTTCAAACCGCTCGAACTTCTGCCGTTCAATATGCTCGTTGGGATGTCCTAAAGGAAATTGGGCATGAACCTCTTCAACTCCAACCTCCAAACCCATGTCGAAAGCCACTACAAAGACCCTGTGCTTCATGATCGAAAAGTATCCTTTTTGGGTCATCACCCGCGTCGAAGTAAGTGTTTTCGACACTGTTGTGGGCATAACTCCCGGCCATGCTGAGCAGACACGGATAGTACCTCTCTTCGCCCTCCGCTCTGTCCTTACCGACTTCCTTTTCTGAGCTTCCTGAGCTTCTCGAGCTTCTTGAGTTTCGCGAAGGCCAGGGCGATGCAATATTTTTCTTGGGGAGTTTCAGCGCGTGGCTCTCTAGGGTTTCAAATCGCAGAGACATATCTCCAAAGTTCTCCCAAGGCCTCCGCCGCGAACTGTTTCCCGTATTGCTGGAAGCGGCAGCCCGTGCCTTCGGACCTGGACAGCTCCTTCGTCTCAAGCACTTTCAACTCTGCGCCTCTCAGTATCACCTTTGCATTACTCTATTGGGGTACGCTTCGAATTTGTGTGGCATTGTTCAAGGCTTTGTCATGACTATCAAGTGCTTTCAGGAGTGTGAGGCCTCCTAGAGGGCGAAGAAGTTCAGATCAGTTCGTGGACTTGAGAAACCGGGAACTCCAAGGACTGCAACTGTCCAATTGCTGGCAGACTACACTGGTTATGAGGCGCGCGAGCTTGTGGTTGCCTTGTGGTTTCATGCAGTTGAAGTCAGTGGGCTGGAAGGATGCAGAGGTTCGACGGTTATGATAGGCCTATTGCTGTGAGCACACCCGGAATGCTGCCATCCCACGAGGAGATATGAATGCACAATGTGCTTCTTTGGGGTTGGCGACCTCCTTGCCAATGTGCTGACACCTCCCTCTACCCAAACCTAAACTCCTCCATGTGTGTTTGAAGAGAGGGGGTCCAGTCCAGTCCATGGCCAGGTGGTTTTGCAGGGTGCTGCCGCTGCCGAGCTCCGAACCCGTGAGGAAGTCCTGCTCCAGGCAGCGGCCGCGTCCCACCTATTGGCAATACCAATGCATACTGATGCACACGAACTGCATACTAGTGACTCTTTACTAGTGCAATACGAAGGCATACAGGTGCAACAGAACATACCAGTATACCAGTATAACGCCCTGCAATGATAGCGGTGTGTTCAAAAGCTCAGGGGCTTTGGGGCCGCACGGTCCTTCTTCGATCGTTCCATATGCCAGAGTGCGGGTGGCAGTGTAGCAGAAGCCACGCTGAAGCTGCTAGGGGCCCCCATTTTTTGCGTGCTGAGAACCAGACGTTCCTCGTCTCCCTTTTTCGTTTTCCTGAGAGGCCTTGGGCCGCGAGCTGTGGCCTTGCCTTTCAGACCCGCCCCCTGGATTGGAACTCTTTTTGAATCGTTGCCGTTGTTGTAGGTTTAGGGGAAGCCTTTCAAAGAGCGTCCCTTACGGTACTTGAAGGCATGGTTTCGAGAAACCGCAGAGCTCAAAGCCCAAGTTTCAAAGGCCCATGTCTTCCCCTTGTCTTCCTCAGGTATTTTGACATGGATCAGCAGATGGAGCGCCTTCACTGACCGGCTTTTAGCTCAAGGGTCTTGGTGTTCAAGGGTCCCGAGCATTAGTTGCGGCTTCTCCACGACATACCGGGAGGGCATCGAGACTCGCAACAGCCGGAGGGCTGGGTCTCTATCGCTAGAGGCGGGGGGCTGTTTGCCACCCCGGAACGGAGCGCCGGAAGGCAACGGAACGGAACGCTACTTGATCATCTTTGTCTTGTTGGATGATTCTTGTCGAGCTGTTGGGTTGATTGGTGCCTCCAATGCGTCAGCATTGGAAGAAGTTTGGGAGGTTTTGAAAATGTGATCGCCCTGCTCATCCTGTCTTGCCAGCCCATAGCCGTTCTCAGAGTTGGCAAGTGGAAGCGGCCATTGGTTGACCCCTCGTTGCGACGAACGAATCGAACGGAATCTAACGGGCTTACCTTGCCACCATGGGCGCTGGATCTCGGGCTGTATCGTGGGTTGCAAACCCTAAAGACCCCTACACCCCAAACCCTGAACCCTGAGCCGTAAACCCTAACGATGGTCAGCTTCAGCCGAGGCAGTCGACGATTCATTCAACAAGCCCGAGCTGGCGGCTGATTTTGTGGCGTTCTAGCGAGGCGGAGGGACTGGCCAAAGACAGGTGCTCTGTTTCCCTTGCTTTGTTTTCGGCTAGTCTGACAGAGCTTCAGCGGCGTTCGATGGTTCGTGCAAGACGTGTATAGAGAACCACCGTGATCCTCTACTGCCTCTTCAGATGTTGTTGTTCTCTTCTGCTTCAGAGTTGTCGATCTCAAATTCGAATGAAAATGTGCAACGAAACTCGCGCCCCGACATGAAGAGAATCAGAGAGAATCAGAGCATTAAGCGGATTCCTCTCAGATTCCAGGGGGACGCAGCCGATTCCCGGCGCTGCTGGAGCTTCGTGAGGCAAGGCTTCAAAAGGTTTCAAGGGGGGGCAGTTCTAAATTTTTCAAGGACTGGCTGTAAAGGGATGTAAAGGGCGCGGCCTGAGAGGTGCTAAGCTTGGAGGTGCTAAGCTTGTCTTCAGCTTCTTGGGGCATCTTTGGCATTCGATTTGCACAGCGTCTGTTTCGTATATTGGCCTTGAGCGAGCTTCGCACATTGATCGGACGACAGAAAAAAGCTACTGAGGCAGGCGTGATGCTTCCTGTTCATAGTTGTAGCATCGCTCCATGAGGCAATTCTCACCAGTAGCGTAAGGCACCTTGGCAATGTGCCCGTATGTGCAGGACCTTTGTAGGGCCTTGCTTGCTTTCATTGCTGGACCAGGCACGGCACTTGCCCGCGTGGAAAGGCCTGGACTTCAGGATTCGCATGAGTTCACGTGGATGGGGGGGTCGGGGGGTGGCTGGGTGGAGAGCGGAGAAGAACAAAAAACGGATCTGGTCGATGAGGTTCTTTGCCCGAGGTGGAATTGAGCCGTTCGGCACACGTTTGTTTAGATGTACAAAGCATGCGAGGCCCCGACTTTGCTCAAAGGCTCGGCTTCCTCCTTAAAACACTTCAATCCTCAGGGCAGCAGGCACAGGATGCTAGTACCTGCCCAGTCCTTTACAGGGTATCCTAGCCAAAGGCGTGTCGCTGGGATCACGAGATCCCGCAGCAGACCATTGCCGTCGGCATCAAGGTGCTTAAGGGTAGGGGCTTGTCCACGACTTGGTCTCTGTTAGGAGTGCCGTAAGGTCTTATCGTGCACTGCGTTCAGCAACTGCAACGACACTCGCTTCTCTTGTACCTTTGGTACCTCTACAGAATGTCCATCCTTCAGCAAAGTTTCAGCTTCAGGGTTTCAGGAGCTGCTCGAATCTAACGGTGCCGCTTGCATTTCTCATTGTGATCGTTGTGGGTTTCCTGAGGTGACGGCTGCACGATACGCCAAATGAGTGAGGCTTCGACAAATGCACATTTTCTGTGCATCTGGCACATGGCACGCGGCTCCCTTGTTGTTTGTTGACCAGATATGGTTGCAATGAAACCTCAGACTCTACGACTCTACAACATCTTCGTGTCGAGTGCGGAGATAGGACTCCATTCCTTGCAAATGCAGTGTCCGGTGTGGAGGAAACTCGAATGCTCCATGCCAGTAGTTTCACTGGGTTCACATGCTCAGGCATCCGCAGTCTTTGCAGGCTTTGATAGAAACGAGCTGCCTGCGATGCCTGAACCTGTGCACCAGTGAGTGCGAAGGGGGTCCAGCACTGCTGTGGCTAGACTGTGCTGTGGGCCTCAGGGCCCTAATCCAACGAGTCTAACCCTGAGAGTGCGCTGGACCCTTGACGCTACGCGGCACTGCAGTTGCCTTGTAGATATCCCGGCGTGCTGTAATGCTCTCTGGTGCCCACACTTTGCTCCTGTAGCCACTTGTACCTTCCCCAAGTTGACCCAGCAAGAGCAGCAACAAGAGCAGCAGAGACGTGAGCCAAGGCGATTGATCGCAAGGAAGCGGTCAGGTAAGGCCGCCCCTCGGAACGATGTGGAGGCTGTTAGATCGGGGGAGAGTTGATCAGTGTTAAGCTTCGAGTTCGCTCAACCGAAGGAGTCGCTTAGTCGCCCGACAGTCTGACTTGGGTCAGTGCTGTTGCCCCACCATCTAATACCACCGAGAAGGAGCGGCGATAGGCTCCGCAAATATCATGCAGCACATGCAAGCGTAAAGGTCGTGGCCATTAGCGTCGTGAGGTTGTGTGGGGAGTCACGGAGGGCCGCCAGCATCCCACCACTCCAACACCAACCCGCTGGCGGCTGCAAGCCCCTAAGAGGCTCCCCACGCCTCACTTCGTCAAGTTGGTAGGCCTGTCGGCAAGAGGGTGTACACTATACTGGTCGCCCTTATGTCGTTGTGTTTTTTGAATGGTCCGCTATGCTGAGGTGTGCTCCCACAAAAACCTTGCGTGTCTTCGGTATTGAAAGCCTTTCGTTCAGCATCCTTTGGTTAGCGAGATCTTCCATCCCTGTTCGTGGGAGGCCCCTCACAGATGTTCTTTACAAAGCCGCCAGTTGCCATCGCCGAAGCCCGAATTTCCCCCGGAGGAAACTACGATAGTGGGGAGGAATCCACAGGAAACCACACCACAGCTCCAGCTCAGAGAAACTCCTTCAACCTGGGTTCCTTGGATTCCTCATAACTCTACGACAATGCTCCGTGAGTTCTGTCCGACGACGTCAGTTTCACCGCGCGTCCACAAAAGATTGGAGAGGGCTGTTGCAACGCAGGAATGCAACGAAACCTGGAACCGTAAGGGTCTGCAGCAAGCTCAGAATAGGCAGTGCGGGCCAGCTGTGCCAAGGATGCATCAGTGCCTGATGTACAGCGTCCTCACATCCATGAACTTCTTCAAGTACTACATACATGGCAAGGCGCGCTGGCCGAGGTCTCCCCCATCCGCACCCCCCACAGCTTTCACCTCAAAGTTGTAGGGTCGCTCGCACATCTGTCCCGCGCCTAAGCCATGGACTCGGATTGTCCAATTTTAGTATCGTACCATTCTGCACCAGCCAAGAAGTCCGGAGAATCCTTATGGCATGGGGGCCTAGATCATTACCATGAGTCTTGTTTGATGCGCTTCTATCGTGTTGAGGGTTGCTTCGCTAACTCTACAAGCCGTGCTGATGAACAGTGAGATGTGCGCTGAGCTTGACAGGTTTTCTCGCGGTGGCAGCAACACACCCGGTTCACTTTGTGACCCCCTCCGTTTAGAAGGGCATCGGCTGGCAGACCTGTGAGTCACTGCTGGCTCACTCCACATCCATGATGACTCAACTCGACAACGACAAGATAAGCCATGTGCCTTAGGGAACCTTCTCTGTTGCAAGGTACTGCCATGCGCGAAAGAACTTGGTCAGGCGGTGCAGATGTACTTCTTGAGTATGCTGAAATATGCTGTGCAGGTTCTGCCCGAGTTGCGTAGCGGCGTGGCGAAGGTTTCTCTTTGAATTCGGAGGGATCTTGGCCCGGAGGTGGGGCGAGTCCGGTCTGTGTCCACACTGGGCTGATGACTTCTCGGCGTGTGGAATCCTTCACTTCATTTGTGTCATTGCCTTCGTGCTGTGTCCTCGTGTTGTCTTCGGATCCTGTTCGCGTGTCAACAGGTGCGTCGGGCATCTCCATGGCATTTCAACAGATCAGCAGTCGTCTCGAGTGCCTTACAGCTTTCTCCCAACCCTTGGTATGGGGCAAGTTCTGTTTTGATTCAACTGAGCCCTCGCCCCCGCGTCTCTCGTACTCATCGCCTGGGGTTTGGCCTCCCTCAGAGAATCCGGGATGCCCCCACCCCGGATATCTACACACGATAGAACTATCATTGGAGTGCCCAATCTCAGGTGAGCGCCACAGTGCCTGCCAAATTGCATAGGGCATAGGATTGGGTGGGAATGTTCGAAGTAACCATTACATCTCTGTGCGTCCAAGGGGAGGTTCGGCAAAATCCCGAAATAGGTTCCTTGGGGTGCATGATGCTCTGCTACTCCACGACTTTGCTGTTTCCCTTGCAGGCGGCTCTTTTTGGCAAAGCCACTCTTCGTGGGACCACTGATCAAGATCAGTACCCTGGCGCGTCTTGAGGATGAAGGGTGTTCAGGCAGCTTTTCGGCATCGCAACTCGCTATGTAGGCGAGGCAAGGTTGTTTGACTCAGTGGGCAGCATCTTTGTTCCTCTTATGCGCACTGGTTTGCAGAGGAGTCGCTTAAGATTCGTGTTGCTGTAGGCTGTTGGGCACATTACATATTTCTGCGCGCACGTGTCCAGCTAACTTTGTGCCAGTAGCCGCCCATTTCACTTTTCCTCTGCTAGCCTCGCGAGCGTAATAGATGGCTGTCTTTTTGTTGAGGCTCGCTGATGCGGGAGGCCTGACGCCGCAACTTCGTTGGGTTTCGTTGCTTGCTGATTTAGCCTCGTCTGGGGGCGTTGTGTCGCCACATGTCGCCACATGTCGTCACCTTCCTCGATTCTCTGCCTTAGGTGGAGTCCGTGAAGGTGGTCAGCATCGGCGCGGGGCTCGGCTTCTCTTCTCCAGAATTCTGGAGTTTTCTGGAGCTGCTCTAAACAAGATGAAAACGAAGAGCCTCTCAGGAAGCAACGTGTACAACTTGGCAGACTTCGAGCGCGAGCAGGCGCCAAGGGGGGACGATTGAGTGGGGCGGTTTCCTAGAGGACCATACGAAAGTGAAACTCATGTCCAAAGCATGCTTTCCGTGAAACTTTCCGGGAACAGCCACAGCGTCGCGGGAGCTTGTCGAACACGGGCCATAGCATAGTGCTGCTGCAGATATGTCCTCTTCTGGCAATACTACTCAAGCTCCTAAATCGGAGTCATGGCATCGTCTTCGTAGGCCGTGGGCTTTTGACTCCTCCGGGGTGCACGGTCAACACTCGTTTTGCTTGTCAAGCCATGGCTTGCCCCTTCTCGACTTCACACGCAGGTTTCTGTTTACCAAAGTCACAAGTAGCGGCAGTTACCAGGAGCCCAACGACAACCCTTGACTTGAAGCCTAGCACCTGTACCTCGGGGCTCGAGATGCCATTACTGCTCCAGCTACTAGTGGAAAGGACCAGTGCTGAAAGTATGTGATCTTTTGACCCCTAAACACGTGCAGCTCTCTACGTAAAGGTCTTCTTGAGGACCTTGTAATCATTTGTGATCCTGCATGGCCTCCTTGAGATACCCTGAAAGACTTTTTTGCTCGACCGATCGTGTCCAAGCTGGATCTCGTCTTCAGGCCACGGTTCGGTCAGCGAGCTGCGCGCAGAAGGCCAGCGCCTTTTCCTTCCCCCGAGGCTTTTCCGCCAACCTCGGCGTGGGCTAGATTTTGAAACTCTATCGCACCTCAGCAGCCCCCAGAGAGTCCCTGGAGACCCCAGAGTGCCCACCCAGCAGTGCCCCAGAGTATTTTCAGAAAGCCCCTGGAATGCCCAGTGCCCAAGGCTCCTGGAGTGCCCTGACCAATTCCCAAGGCCCACCCTAGAGTATTTGCAGAGGGTCCCTGGAGTGCCCAACCCCAGAGTGATCCTGTCTGCAGGGTGTGGATGTTCGAAGTAAGAAGAATTTAAGTTGAGCCAAGCCCAAAAACACCAGGAACGAAGGATTCTGATTCTCTCACTTTCTCATTCAGATTCATTTCGGTTCCTTGGCATCTCGCTAATTGTCAGGGCAATGCTGCATCGTGCCTTATCTTGCCCTTGTCCTGGTCTTGGTGACTTGATTCAGAGGAGCTGGAAATGCTTCACGATCAGACGGTGGCAGCCATGGACAAGCTGGTGCAGGTTGTGGGTGAGGGCCTTACGAGCTCCAGGTGCGGTAAGGCTGCAGGCACAAAAAGACAGAACTCATGCGCGAACCCCACTCATGCTTGTCCTCGAGACGGCAGTGCTGCCTCGAAGTAAGAAAGTGCCTCCATTTGATGTGTTGCGCTTTGCGCTTTGTGGTGGATTTGTGTCATGCTTGCAGCGAAGTGCCTCCCGACCCCCCCCCCCCCCAGGCCAGGCCACCGAGCCTCAGAGCCACGAGCCACCACAGGGAACGCTGAGGCCTCCTTGGGAGCCGCGAGAAAGGGAGGGCGAGGATGGCACGGAGTATGAGTGCACTGAGGATGCCCCCTTCTTCTGTTTAACATAGCTTTTTTCTTAGGGACAGTCGTGGCATTGGATGTCGGGCTTTCGAGCCTCGTGATCTCAGACTCCATCAAGGCTTGCTGCTTGTGTGTTGAGTGAGCATAGTTAGCTTGCACATGTTTGTTTCCTTATGCCTCATGCTTTTAACAGGGACATTGGGGAATCTTGTTGCTGGCTGTAGTTGTGCTCGAAAGGGACCAGATCAGTATACCCACTGAAGCTATCGGTCCAGGCCGCGGATGAAGTCCATGGTGCAGGCCAGTTGAGATTGTATCCCCTTTTCCCAATTTGTGGCTTAGCACGGGCTAGCATGTGGAAGCATTTTGTTCCTGTTCCTGCAAGAGCCGTAAGCCCTAAACACCCTAAACCGAACGGCTGTCCAAGCTTTGCGGCCCAATGATGCGTATGTTGATCGCAGCATCGCAAACCGCTTCGAGGTCGATCGCCGAGCTAGCCCCCAATGCATGCCCGGTTGTGCCTTTGATGCCTTTGCTTGCGCATGCGCTGGCATCAGTGCTCGAAGGTACCCGTACTCACCCGCTTGCACACCCGTATACTCCCCACTGCCCAGTGCGCTTTTGATGCCCATTTTGGAGCTGAAGCCTTGAGCGAATGACTTTGATGTAATCAATCATCGACACCCCTTGTGGTGTTTGATGCGGAGTTCAAGCGGTCAAGCGTCATAACACTCACAAGCCAAATGCAGGGGCCACGAGCCCGAAGGCGGAAAAGTGCACCCGCTTATCATCACGTTTATCGCGTGGCGCTCGTGTTCTTTCTGCTTTCTGACCAGTTATCTATCTAACTCTCCGCCCTAAACCCTTGCCCCTTCATGAACCATTGCAACACTACACGTCTCGAGAAGACACGGCATGCATGCGACATGACACAGGACGCGAAACATGACACGAGATAGCGACAGGTCACGACACGAGACAGACGCTACCCACGCAAGACAAAAGGCAAGCGGCAGTAGACGCGAGCCACGATGCGCGACCTGAGATCCGTATCGCAACACATTCAACAAACGACATCACACAACACAGTTTGGAGATGCTTACGCCGTGAATGTGCCACTGATGCATGCATCTCCCCTACTTTGGACGTCCAGGTTTCTGAAGGCGCTTGCACAAAGAAACTAGGGTGGTCCCAGAAGGCTTCCTAGCAGAACTTCCGAGGGGCAGCTGGACCCCCGGGGCATGGGATCGGCTCGGGGGACCGGAAATGTCGGGCTGGAAGTTGGGAAAGGGGGAAGGAGACCGACTTGTTCCGCGCGCCTCTCCGGTTGGGGGACGAGGGGAGTTTCACGAACATCCAGGAGAAGAAGGAGGCTTCCGACAGTGCACGGCGGCATCGCCTTGCCGTCTATGCCGCGCCCAGAGCTTTTGCCGATGTTGGGTTTCCTAAAGTAAAAGGGGTCCTGAGGATCCTCCAAAACCCAACAAGGTAGATCCAAAAAATGTCCCGCGTCTTCAGGGCCCACCCCAAAGGTTTCTGTTTCGGCCCGTGGGAATGGAGGGAGGATTGTGAAAGTGCGCGGGCACTGTGCTTACCGCGACAGACTCATATCATTTTCATACCTTGGTGTCATCAGCGTCCAACGACCAGCCTCAAGTTTCCATTACATCGTGCAGTTGGTGATACGAGACTCGAGCTTTGCCAAGCTCAGCTAAAGGGCCTCAAACCTCGAGTTTCGGGGTTTAGGGCTAAGGGCTTAGGGTTTCAGGACAACCAGATGCTCGGCGACTGCGTGCGTCTCGTGGACTACATGTTTCAGGCTGCACGTCAACATGCGTCAACAGATGGACTAGTTATGCAGTTTTGTTATTGGATGAGTTTACTAGCCCGCTTTTGTCGTAACTATTCTTCTTCTTATTATTGTTTCAAATATAGGAACAATAGTTTATAATCTCATTCACTTCTTCGGTAGCGGCAGACAGTTCGGGAGTGTTTATCATCGAGACGCTCCGCACAGGAGATAAAGTCGGGGCAAAGCCTGACATACGAATGGAACCAATGAAAATGCAGAGCCAACAGTTCTGTTCTTGCTGCAAAAGTTGCGACATGTCGGTGATCCTACTCTTCTGCAGTACGACTGGAGCACCCCCGAGACCCGTCCGTCCCCCAACACAACGAGCATTGCCTGGAGGCGTGCCTGGTCAAGGTGGTGATCAACGCTCCTTCCTTGCATTATGGTACATGTTAAGAGCCTGCTCCGGGCCTTTAGGGTTTCAAAACTTAGCGTTCGGTGTTGGAGTTGATTGGCAATAAGTCCTTGACGGGGGTACTCCTGGATGGTAACCACTCCCCCATCTTGGGCCCGAAAGCCCTTGGGGTCCCAAGCCCGAACTGGAAGGCCGCCGTAGAGTTCTTCAACCGGGTGCCTGCCTGAGTTTTGCATGTAAGACTACGTTTGCATATCGGAGGTTTAGGGTTTAGGGTGGGTTTGCAGAGGTGAGGTGCATGAGCAGTCCAGTCAATGCCTCGGAGCTGCTGAGCACGAAGCGCTGAGCACGAAGCTGTCAAGGTCAGGAGAATCCCTTACCCCGTACCTCGGCCCGCTCTGCACGAAGTCAACACAAAAGCAAATAAACATACAACCGTCTGCTATAGTGATATGCTGCTAAAGTGATAGAAGCAACCGTACATGAGACAGACCGCAGGTGGATAGCTCTACAAAAATGTTCTCCATCTCCGTGGCCTACGGCGAGAAGACCATGGTGCCGCAATCGAGGGCTGAGATTCTTGGGTGCCACTGTGTTTTTGTTGGGTACTGGTACCTGCCATCCGTGCCGCAGTGGGCCCCGATGGAGGTGTTTGATCCTTCTTTGGACCAGTTCCTCGAGATGCAAACAAAGCTTTGGCGCTCGTCGGTCCAGGTGCGTAGCGGGTGGTGAGGGCTGCTGTTGCCTAGTTGTCAACTGATCTGGCGCAGGGCAGCCCGAGAAGCACATGGTATTCTTTGTGAAGTTTGTGAGAGTTTGTGTCTTTGCTTCGGACCCCATGCACAGAGACACAGAGATTGCCGCTTCAGGTGGTGAATGGCATCTTGTCCCTGCTGAGCTCCCCGCACTACGCGGCTTCGTTGAACTTGAACTGATATTTTGGAAGGGTCAGGGCAGAGCATGTGCCATCAAAAGGGGCCAGGAGGGGTGCGGCATCTTATGGGACCTTGAGATTGGGGGTCAAGCTGGCACGGCCACGTCACCTGGCAAGGTGAAGCACATCTCCGCCTCCACCGGCAACACGCAGACTGCAAGGGGCCCAGCGAATCTTGCATTGGGCTTCCCTCGACCTCCCTCAAGACTTCATCACCAACACCGTCTGAAATGCCTCTTTCAGTTGGGAAAAGGGTCAAGGTACAAACAGGAAGGGGAAAAACGCGCATGGGAGATAAAACTTGCAGCCTCTGTACGCAGCGACCAGCCGAGCTCAGAAAAGCATTTGATCCCCACCAGAACTCAAACCCCAAATGAACCGTGCGATCTGGAAGATCGGTTCCAAGATTTCTCCGCATTGAAGCATTGAGTTCGCTTTCCTAGCGATTGTCCGAGCTGTGAGAGCTGCAGGCCTTGGGTCAAGTGGAACGCACAAAAGATGTTGTGCCAGGGTTAGCAATTAGTTTTGCGTCAGTTGGCATCGGAGCCGGTTAATTCCGGGATGGAGGATCCCTGGGCGGAATACCTGCGCCAGAGATCCCAAATGCGCGGGGCTCGCGCCGGCGCTGAAGCAGGGCTTCGAGGCGACGATCAAGGACTAAGTGATGGAGTTCGAAGACAGCTGTCGGGGACAGTCAATCCTGGAGTTTGGGATCGACCTCAAGGGTCTATGCCCATGTGGGAGCCGCAGCCATCGTCAAGCGATGCCAGCCGCTCAGCATTTGATCCCAGAGGTTTGGGAACACATTGGCCTCCCCTTTTGGCTACGGGACCTCTTTTTGGTTTTCCACAAGGAATTCCTCCAGGAGGACAGTTTCAACCCAACTATGGCAGTTGGAGTCCACGACCTCCACCACCTCAAGCTCCTCCGGCGACTATATGGAGCACTCCTTCATCATTCGCCGGTCCATCACCGCCTTTCGCGCCGACTTTTCCTACAGCCCCATCAACTACAAGTCATGAAAGGCCCAATACGCTACCAGGACAAAATGCGCCAGGGAGACCGAACTTGGCAGCTCAAGCCGCTGCTAGCTTGGATAGTGGTCCTCTTCCTCGCCAACAAGAAGCTAAGGTGGGAAGCGCTTTCGAAGTTCTTGGGATGCGTTCTCCGACTACACCAACGCCCTTGGACCAAGGAGAGCGATTCATCCAAGCCATCTCCGGTGAAAAGAAGAACATTCCAAGCTGGTCGGGACAGCCCAGCTCCTTGCGATCGTGGTTGAAGCTTTTGGCGTACTGGGAGATGGAGACAACGCTCAGTCGAGACAAGTGGGGAATCCGCCTGTACCAGAGCTTTGCAGAAGGGACCCAGCCCAGGAAGATCGCGGACCAGGTGGCCATGGAGGATCTGCTTTCCGCGCGAGGATACGGGTTGATCCTATCAGCCCTTATGGCCAAGTACAAACCTTTCTTGGACATCGCGGGGCCCACGTCCATAGACAAGTTCTTCTACATGGGCGAAAGAGGAAAATCCGAGTCCTTCGCCACTTTCTTGGCGGCCAAAGAGGTGGCAAGACAAGAGATGGAGCAGAACCTTCAAGAAAGAATTCCGGATCGCGTGGCTGGAAGGATCCTTCTCCGCCAGTCGAACCTCTCAGAGTTCCAGCGGGAGCTTATCTCGCTGAAGGACAATGCCACCATGTTGAGCTTCGACGAGGTGGCCGCCATGTTGAGACCGCTTGACCGACCGGAGATGTTAGCCCAAGCTGCCCAGTCAGAACTCGGAACCCACGCCTCCAAGCATTATCCGGTGATGTATGCAGAAACCGAAGAGCTCCCCGTGCAGGACGAGGACCCACAAGAAGATGGAGAAGACTATGAAGAAACTTCGGAGTCCGAGTTCGACGAGCTCTACTTCGAGGACAAGGAGTTCGAGGAAGACGAGGCGATCTACATCCAGGCGTACCACTCAGCCTATGCAGATGTTCGGCGGGATCTTCGAGAAAGGCGTCGAGAGCGAGGCTTCATCAACCACAACAAGGTCGCCGGATCGAAAGCCTCGACACCCAGGCCTTCCAAGGACAAAGGCCGCGGTCATGTTCCTCGAAGGAAGTTTGGAAAGGGCGCCGGAAAGAGATCTGGAAAGGGACAAGGCTCCAACGGCAAGATGATGCGGGGCACAGCAGAACAACTGGTGAGCCGCGCCCGTTGTTACAATTGCCAGGAGCTTGGCCACTATGCTCGAGATTGCCCTCTCAAAGGTTCTGGAAAGGGCAACAAAGCAACCTTTGTGGTCACTCGAGGCACCAGCGGCTCGAACTTCATGGTGTGCTCCGAGAGTGAGACTTGGCCGTGTGTGCAGGCGCCGCCGCTCAATAAGATCCCGAACGTCGCTGTGTATGCAGGCATCAGGGTGAGGGGTCACGAGGCATCGTCGATACGGCAGCCGAAGACGCCGTCATCGGAGAGACTGCCTTCCAGACGTTGGTACAGGAGCTCCGACAGCACAACCTCCAACCGGTCGAGATCCCCTTTTCTGGCGTGGAGACCCCGTGTGCCGGCATTGGAGGCCAGGCGAAGCTCAAGGCCCTCGTCGACATCCCCGTTTCGGTCGCTGGACTGCACGGACTGCTTCGCTTTAATGTCCTTCAGGACGGTGTCATGGCCACACCCCCGCTTTTGCCGGTGAGCTTCCTCGAGGCGATCGCCGCGCTCATCGATCTGGGCAACAACATGATCCGCACTCCTTCCGGCAGAACCACCCCGATGAACCGCTTGCCATCTGGTCATCGCACCGTCGACATCCTCGACTTTCGAGATCGGCCTTGGCAACTCCCTCCACATGTTTGCCCACCCGAAGGAGATCCTTTTCAGGTGTCGTCTCGCACGAAGACTTTGGGGGAGGAAGCAACATCAGGCGTTTGGTGCTCAACGACCTCTACTTCTTCAGCAACCCCAGAGACCCCAGAGAACAAAGAGCTTTTCCTCACTTTGCAAGACAGCCAATCCGTCGAGGACACAGCAAAGAACCTGCGGCTGCAACAGAAATGGTCTTACGAGGACATGGATGCCTTCCTGACTTCGTTGCGGTTGCAAGCTCGGGAACACACGCGAACCGTAGTGAAAAAGACGGTGGAGAACAAGGATCCAGCAAGCTTCTCGCTCATCCTCGGCCAGTACGTGCACGGAGCTTTCACCGGCGTGACCAAGGCGACTAAGCTCTATCCCGAGATGACCAAGTATGTGACGGCCTGGATTCGGAACAACTTCCCGACACTGCACTTCACTTCAATCGCCCTCAATGCCAACCTCAAGGTGCCGATTCACAGGGACTTGAACAATCAGGAAGATTGCCCAAACGTGGCCATCGCCTTTGGTGACCACTCGAAGGGCGGTCTTTGGATTCAGTCCGGCGGGGCAATGTCGGGAGAGAAGAAGCTTCCGGAAACATGGCGAAAATGTCCGAATGGATCTCGAGTTCCGGGTCATGTGCATGAGTGTCGACGTAGCCCAGTCAGGTTCTTTCCGAAATTCTGGCATGAGACTCAGAAGTGGATTGGACAGCGAGTCGGCATGAACATCTACACGATAAGAGGGTCAGCGCCTCAACTAGTCGAAGTTTGCCAAGATCTGTTGAACTTGGGGTTCAGGCTTGACACATCGACTCGAACCAGACCTCCGTGTCAGCATGTCTTGATGGACGCAAGTGATCCGAAAGAAACGCCAGCCGCCCTTGAAATGAACAGTCGTCAGTGCGAATTTGATCTGGAAGGAGCTTTTGAACCGGTCAAAGAACCAAACCCGCATGCGTGGAACAGACCTTCCAGGCTCGAGCGAATGATCGCACTAGCCGGCAAATTCTTTCTCAATTCGAGACGTCGTCCGCACCGTCCTCAGCGCAACAATGTCGTCCTTGCGGCAACGGGCGGACCGAATGGCGTTGGAGGAAGTCAGGACCTCCAGCTCACCTGCGCCAAAGAAGAAGATGGGCGTGCAGAAGACCGAGGCAGCTTGGAAGCGTTTGGTCGGTCGGGTGCTGTGGGTCATCATGACTGCAAGACAAGAGATGGTGATCGACTCGATGATCCAAGACGAGCCGAGGGTGACCCCATCATCGACAGCTACCTCATCGAGCACACCGGCCAACAAGAAGAAGTCGAAGGATGCCCACGTCGATCAAGGCGTTGGAGATCCGATGTCGAGGTCCAAGGTGCACAAGACCTTTGTCCGGGAGCCGGAAGACTGCAACCACCCTCCGGACAAGCTTCGATGCCGGGCGAATTCCACCAGCCAGTGGTGGACCTGCACCCTGTGCGGCAGTCGATGGAGGAGGATGGAACAAGTCGAGGAATCCAACCAACCACTTCCGGAGACGCAGGAGCATGCGGCAAAGGTCACCAACCGAAGAGGACAAGAATATCCGAGTTTCCTACCAGCTCCACGAGGTCGCCCTCAGCAAGGAGACAAGATGGTGGAATTGGACCGCTTGGGGAGACCGCTGACACTTGGAGAGCGGATGAGCCAAGCAGCTGGAAAGACATCTTCTTCAACAATGACGACCGTGGTGCCGGAGAGGACGACGGCTGGCGAAGAACAACCACCAGCTCGAGGGAGAGTCCGAGCAACATCGTCGGGATTGAGGCCAGCGCAGAGATCCAAGACACCCGCTCGGAAGGAGCACCCGGAGACCTACGAGATCAACAGCAACGGCGAGGAGCATTGGTCGGATCTGGCGATGGAGAATTCCCCCGACACGGGAAAATGAAGCAAAACAAGATCCTTTTGGAAGCACAGAACCTGGCTTGGGAGAAGAGTGGCCCGCTCCACCAGCTGGGGACCTACCTCCTCAAGACCAACAAGACCTTAAAGCCCCTCCTGGTGTTGCTCACCTGGGTGACGACTGGTTGGATGAACTGCCAGCCGGAGTTTCTGGGAACCCCCACGGCGAGTTTGGTATGGTGCGCGCAACAGGGTGAGTGGCGTCCGTGTCGAGACGATGATGGTCTCCAACGACGAGTGGGATGTCACGTCTTCGACAATAAGTACCAGAAGTTCAATTGGGTCATGGACTTCGCCGAGCACACGGACCCCAACTACCACAACAAGTTCGTGGCACTTTCTAAGGGCCAAACATCGCAGCTGCAAAAGGTCTTGGAGAAGAACCTGGTGGATGTCGGAGAAGTGTACTCTCCCCCAAGAGTGATCAAAAGAGCGGAGAAGATGGGCCTCAAGCCGGGCTTCGCTTTGGACCTGGCCACTGGCTGGGACTTCTCCAGACGTGACCACCAACAAGAAGCCCTCCGCCTGATACGAAAGCATCGACCTGCTCTGATCGTGCTTTCCCCACCATGTACACCCTTCAGCTGTATCAGGAACCTGACGAACTTCAAGCGGGACCCGAGTGAGGTGGAACGAGAATGGCAGGATGGGATGCGTCATCTGAGCTTCGCGGTGGATATCGCCTGGATTCAGATACGGGCAGGACGCGGCTTTCTCTTCGAACATCCCATGCGAGCATCCAGCTGGAAGAGCGCAACCTTGGAAGCCCTTCAAAACCACCCCCTCGTCTACACCATCAGGATGGACATGTGCCAGTTTGGTCTCAAGGACAAACAGGGTGCGGCGCATTTGAAACCCACCATCCTCCTCACCAACATTCGTGAACTAGTGGATAGCCTTTCAAAGCGGTGTGATCGTCAACACGAACACGCATCGCTTTTGGGAGGAAATGTGGCAAAGTGGTCGGCCATCTACACCGACTCCTTCGTCGACGCCATCCTGAAGGGACTACGCAAGCACTTGATGACCGAAAGCTACCCGGTCTTCGGCATGGCGGACTCGTGGACTTGTGGTGTCGACCACCTGGTTTGCCGCCATTTCAGCCCGCGCACCACCATGGTCACTCCTAAGGATTGCCAATTGATCGCCGCCAACAATCTGAAGTTCACTGGGATGCGCCATGTTTGCCAGCAAATTGTTGGCGGCCCGACGAAAACCCTTTCGGACGATTGGACGGCGCCGGCAGCTGTTCGAGTCCTTCTACCTGCTTGGACGGGCTCTACCATCCTTCCCCTGGAACACCAAGTGTTGTTGCCAGAACCTTTTGCAGGCTTTGCGACCTGGCTGGCGCGCGGAGCCGCCCACGACCTACACGACTACCAGGTCCAGCAGGTCTACTTCCTGTCCGAATGGACACTCAATTTTCCATCGCACCACATTTTGGGGGAGGAGGCAAGAGATCGGAGACAGGCCATCAAGGATGATCCAAGTCTTTCGACTGCATCGCCCCCGAGAATCGATTCCGAAGCCGAACCCCTTCTCGGCAACAATGTTGGAGGAGATCCCAATTTGGCCTCCTCGGCGTCACTTGGCTCGCAGCGGAGAGAGAACTTGAATGCGATGGACCCACACAACATGGTAGTGGACGAGATCGATGAGGATGAAAGGAGAGTTCGTGCCGAACTACAAGCCCTTCCCGATGTGAAGATGCCCGAAGGCCCGGACGAGGAGGCCGTGAAGCCTCCGCCGGCGGACATCCGCCGAGAGCTCTTTCGGGTGCACCGGAATTTGGGGCATCCTGATAATGCCACTCTCGCAAGAGCGCTCAAACATGCGGGAGCCAAACCAGAGTACATCAGATGGGTCCGTTGCGGCTTTGAGTGCGCCATCTGCGCCCAGAAAAGGCGGCCGATGAGTCACCGCCCGGCGCATCTCCACTCGAGATCCATGCCATTCAACGAGGTGATCGGGGTGGACTTATTTTACATACAACGTCGCACGTACCTCAACATCCTCGATTGGGGGACAAACCTACAATGGGTCGAGATCCTCCCCGACCGAACTTCGGCAACGGTGGCAAGGGCAATGGCGATGTCATGGTTTGGCCATTACGGACCTCCAGCGATGGTCATTTGCGACCAAGGGCCAGAATTCACGGGTCGAGAATTCTGCGACCTCATGGGCGACCAGGGCGTGGTCATCCACTTCACTGACGTGAACTCTCCATGGCAAAACTCCAGGACCGAGAAGGCAGGTGGAGTCTTTAAAAGCCGCCTAGCCAAGGTGTGCCAGGAAGCCTCAGTCATCACCGAGGGAGAGTTGAAGATCGCCGTGGCGGAAACCGCCTGGATGCACAACAAATTCTACGATCGCTCAGGATATAGCCCTCACCAGCGAGTTTTCGGTTCGTCGCTGAGAATGCCTGGGTCGCTTCTTACAGACGACGGTCTCGACCGAGAATTCCTCGAGGTGCCGATCACCGATGAGATGAAAAGGGCCCGAGAGATCCGAGAAAAGGCGGCGAAGGCCTGGATGGAAAACCAGGACTATGAGGCCGTGAGCCGTGCGGCGAAGGCGAACACGAGGACTGTCGACAAGATCCCCATCAAGCCCAACGACCGTGTGTTTGTGTGGAGATCAACCAAGGACTTTGTGGGGTGGTCAGGCCCGGGAGTGGTGATTCAAGTCACCGACAACGGCAGGTCGCTGTGGATCAGCTTGCGGGGCTACTTGATGAAAGCGTCCCGAGAACAGACAAGACTGGCAACCGGCGAAGAAAGTTTCGGCGTGGAGCTGCAAAGAATTCTCTCGAGAGAGTTACTGGATGACCTGGAGTCGAATCGCATCAAACACTATCGGGATGTACGGGAAGAAGGGCCTCCGGACGAATCTGTGGAGTCCGAGGATGAGTTTGCCATGTATTCTCCTTCTCTGGCGGACATGGAGGTGGAGAACGAGAATCCGGTCCCAGAAGGTCATCCAGAACAACCAACGGCGGGCATCGAAGTCATCTCCACCACAGAGGAGGCAAGTGCTTCGAATCCGCCGGAGAGCTCATTGCCACCCACGGAAACTCCAGAGCCGACCACGCCAAGAATTTCCACTGCGCCGGCGTCACGAAGGTCCAGCATCCGAGTGGACGAGGCTTCGCACGGTCATTTTCCGTTTGGCCCTATCCGAGAGGAACGACCTGGACCTCCAACACCATACCCCATGGTCTCGGCCCCAACTTCATGGCCTAACCCATCAGCGCCAGCAACGTTCTTGGAGGTGAACTCGTTGACGGAGGACGAACCGGTGAAATGGTGGAAAGACCGAGCCAGGAACCGATGGGAGCCCATTCCGACGGACAAAAATGGCTTCGCAGCCAAAGAAGCAGTGGCGTACTACTCCTACACGAACAAGTGCATTCTGCTGGCGAAGAAGAAGAAGGAGAGCCCCGGCCAAGTGGACTTCAAGAAACTTCCCGAGTCCTTGAAGAAAGTCTTCCGAAAGGCCCGAGACAAAGAAATCAAGTCCCTCATTGATTCTGGAGCCATCCGGGTGATGTCCCTGGAAGAGTCGCGCAAGTTCGCCAAGGATCACCCCGAGCATGTTCTGACCTCGAGATACGTGGACAGATGGAAACCTTCCACTGACGGCAGTCTACTACCAGAACGCTTCGACGCATACGACAGCAAGCTGGCTCAGGACGAGACAGTGGCGCCGAAAAGCCGGTGGACCGTGGTGGGGTGGAAGGACCCAGAAGTCCACTCCATTGAACGTTCGGCTCTTACTCCGCTTACCACTTCCATCTACCTGGCGATGCAAACTGCGGCAAGTCGAAAATGGGCGGGACACGTCCGCGACGTCAAGACGGCATTCTTGCAGGGCATGCCTACGACCAGGAAACAGAAGCTCGCAGTGAAGATGCCCCCGTGCGAGCACTTCCCGGAGTACCACGTCGAACAGCTCATTCTGCTCTTGACCGAGGTATACGGGTTGGTCTCAGGACCGGCATGGTGGCGCTGCAGCCTTCTTCAGGTCTTGGTCAAAGAACTCGGCTACCGGGTCAACGCCTTCGACAAGTGCGTCCTTACCCTCGACGCGGACGAGAAAGAGACCAAGGAAGACCAGAAGAAGACGCAAGGCATCATAGTAGTGGAAGTGGATGACATCCTAGAAGGTGGAGGACCGCGACACCGACAGAAGATGGCGTTGTTGGAAAGCCGATTCAAATTCGGCAAAATCACCAATCTTATGGACGCGAGCGAGGGATCGGGTTACGCTGGCCGCAGACTACGACAAAGGGCCGACTACAGCTTCTCCTACAGCATGGACGACTACGTCGAGAATCGCCTCCGCTATGTCAAGATCGATAGGAGATTCACCAAGAAAGCAGCCCCAAGTCTGGCCCTCACCACCGACGAGGAGAGTCAACTTCGAGGCGCGATAGCGGCACTGAACTGGGCGGCGCGGGAAGGGCGGCCGGATGCCTCAGCTCCAGCCTCCATTCTCGCCGGATGCTTTCCCAACCCCAGTGTGGCCGACGTCCTCGCGGTGAACAAGGCGGTGGAGACCCTGAAGGCGACGAAGGTCGAGCTCATCATCCACGCCTTCCCGGAGAACCAGATTCGGCACGTCGTGATCAGCGACTCATCCTTCGACCCTTCCGGCAAACAGAAGCCCCAACATGGATGGTTGCAGGCCATCACCACGCCAGGTCTGAACCGAGGAGAAAGAACCCCCATCTCCCTCATCGCTTGGAAGTCCAAGAGGTTGAAGCGAAAAGCCGGAAACACACTGCTTTGTGAGAGCATCTCGCTTTCGACAGCAGTGGGCGCATTGGAGAAACAAGTGGCTACCTGGGCAAGCTTCACTCGCTCAAAGTTTCGGCCCCAAGACTTGGAGCTGGACATCAGTGAAGAAGTTCGCCTGGGATTGAGAAGCTCCACCTCTGTCATCGCCTCCGACGACAAAGCGTACAGTGATCCTGCGGCCATAGCCATCTCAGACTCGAAGAGTCTCTTCGATGCTCTGCATGCGGAACAGGCGCATGGTGAAGACGACCGCTCAGCTTTAGAAGTGGCGATCATACAGGAATCTCTCCTGAGACTAGGCGGCAGGGTGCGTTGGATCCCACATAACGTCAATCCCTCAGACGCTCTTACGAAGGTGGATGGGGCTCATGTCCAACCTTTAATCCAGCTCCTGAGGACTAACTGCTTTAGACTAGAAGCGGAATCCGACATCCTGGCACGCGAAAAGCAGGGAGATCGCAGACTCAAGAGCTCGGCCAACTAAAATGTTGGGAGCTGAAGCATTGAGTTCGCTTTCCTAGCGATTGTCCGAGCTGTTAGAGCTGCAGGCCTTGGGTCAAGTGGAACGCACAAAAGATGTTGTGCCAGGGTTAGCAATTAGTTTTGCGTCAGCATGGTGTGCTTTCTCTGCGTACGTTCCTGGCTTCCGGGCTTTTACGGACTCCTGGGTCTCCTCCCTGTGGCCCGCCAAGTCGAACCAAGGAGACTTGCACATCTTCTTAGAAGGACTTTCGCTTGCGTCGGGGTGGCGCAAGCCAGCAAGTTCACAAGTGGGGCCGGGTTCCAAAGCCCAAGTTAAATATCTTAAGAGCTTTCGCCAGAAGCTTTGACAGGGGTATTTCCGGCGTGAAAGTCATGGCTCACAAGCAGATCGCCAGACTTCAGGATGTCCTTTAAAGTGAGGATCTGGAACGTGTAAGGGAAGATCTCAGCTTTTGGACCGAGTCTTGGAGAGAAGTAGGAGTTTCACGTCGCCTGAAGGAGTTGAGCACTTGAAGAAGGTATCAAAAACGGGTACAGGATTAGGCTGCCAGAAACGATCTGGCAAGTGTTTACGCGTTGCCAAAAAGGAGTCCTGACATGCTTGGAAACTCGTTGCACAGGCCTGCAACGTTTCTTGAGCTGGACCTCCAGGGTTCACTTGGCGACCACCAGCGATGCACAACACATTAAGAAAACTTCAACACACACCCACACACACTTCGTGTTTGTTCGTTCGATAAGCATGTTTTGTTTAACCAGCCGCCATGAAGATAGAACCACATGGTCGGCTGAAATCCATTTTTGCGGAGCGTCAGCCTTCTCTGAAAGAGTTCCTGATAAAGTCTCCATTATGCAATGCATCTCTGCTCTTGAAGAGTTTTCGTGTTTGAGTGCTGTCGCCTCTCGTACAGCTTGGGGCAGCCTCTGTTGCCTTGCAGACGCAAGGGCGTTCGCGCCCACAGGCAGTCAATCAATCAATCAATCAATCAAGCCATTATGCAGCTCATGGATTGTGAATGTGCAACTAGGCCTTCACTCCGGACCGCCATATGAGCCCAATGAATTTTGCTATTTGCCAGTTGATGAATGCTGATATGACGGGGTGGCGACTCCCAGCAAGAGAGAGTCGCGTCAAGAGAGCAAGGCCATGTGCGTGCTAATGGCAACATGACGTGACGTTGTCCCAACAGCGTCGGAAACGTCGTTTGGAAACTTTTCGAAACCTAAACTCTTGTCTGAGTTTGTCGTGGTTGCGAAATTTGGCGATTGCTCAGCCCAGACATTCTCACATACGTTTGGCTTCAGGTCGAGAGCATCTTGCACCACAACCGGCAGTTCAACCACTACACCGCAGCCGTGCGTGAGAAGACCGGGATGCTTGCAACTAGATCCAAGCTTGTGTGGCATGCTACTTCCGGTCGCGTCGAAGCATGCTTTGATTTTCGGAGGGACCTCTGCTCCTGAAGCTTCTGCGCTTCTCTGCTCAAAGCTCCTCCTCTACCCTAGGCCCATAAGAGTGCTGTTGCAACTAGTCTTTGTGGGAGGCCTTTGTGCGGATAATGTTTCTGCTGCTGCTGCTGCTGCTTGACCGTTTGGGGATGCAGATTCTACGTTGCGCATTCCAGGGACTCTGTAGGGCTACTTTGAGGTTGGGTTCCAGAAAGCTCTCGGCGCATTCTCTGAGGTTTGGGGGCACTCTTGGGTTGGGATAATCTGGGCCTGTGCGCTCCAGGGACTTTCTGGGGATGCTCTGGGGTTGGGCGCTCCAGGGACTTTGGGGAGGAGAGGAGCACACGAGGGTGCAGAATAATTTGAGAGGAGATCGTTCTTTTCCGTAGGTTTTTTGACTAGGGAACAAAAGACAAGAAAGAAAAACAAAAGAGAAAAATCAAAAAGGAAAGAGCTGCCCCCCAACCCCTCAGCTTTCTTAAGCCGTGCAAAGCTTGCTTCAAAGCGTATGAAATTCCCTTGGATCTTGCTGGGAGGATACTGACTGACATCACCAATGCTCAGGCTCTGGCCGTGTGGAACGGCACTGGGCATACTGCATTTGTTGAGGGCCTTGACCATCACGTCTAGTTGTGAAGGAAGTCCTCCAACTCCTCCAACTCCTCCAACTCTCCACCACTTTATTCTGGTGCACCAAGCTTCCATGTTGCTGGAAGGAGGTGCATTCAAAATCTAGCAAGCTTTAGATGCGTCTTGCACACTTGCCTCAGAAATTCTCGGACAAGCATTTCGAGTTGTTCCGACGTATCCATGACTATGGCAACAGCCGGGCGCTCGGAAAGTACGCTGCGGGATCCATGCCGAAGACATGAGAAGGCAGATGGGGAGTCGTAGCTACGCAGGCATTTCTTCTCATCTGTTGTGCTAACAGATTGGGACGAAGAAGCCTACCTGGCATCTACAACCTCGCACGAGGCCTCCTACTTTTGCCCACTGTACTGTGAAAGCATGACGGAGTCGGCGGCATTTTGGGGTGTTGGGGACGAGACCCTGCATCTCCAGACAGCTACGTTCAGAACGTGCAGACTTCTTCATCCACAGCCAGAAAGCACTGCTTCAAACCTGCAGCAGGAGCTTGCTTCCGACATGGGTCGCATGCGGGAGTTCCAGGCCGGACTCAGGGTCTTTGAGATGCACTGAGAAACCCGAACAGCGCATAGCACCACACAACACCACACAACACCACAGTGCACAGCTCGACTATCCGCGGACATTGCGCCAAGCAGCTCAAGCTCTCGAAGCATGGAGAAGTCATGAGCCTCGCCCTTTGCAATGCCTCCATCATTGTGGACATGGATGAACCTGAAGTTTTCATCCGTGAGAAAGCTTGGCGAACTCATATTCAGACATCTCAACACCGAAAACTGGTCAAGAAACTTGCAACTCTGTCTGACAAAAGAAATCCCAAGACCATTAGATTGCTTCGGCTAGTGTTTTTTTGGAAGGGATGAAAGCTGCTTCTCAGATGTGGTGGACACAAATCTTTTGTGCAAAAGAGTTTTTTGGGGCCGCAAAATGCCAGGAAAAGAAGACAACACATGTGTCGGGTGGCATCTGGTGGCCCATGGCATCCAATGGCCCTTGCGCCATGGAGCTTGTAGCTTCCGTAGCTTCCTGACGCATTTCAGCTTAGCCGTTAAAGCGGTTCTCTGACATTGTGTCAAGATTTGGCGCGCGCGCGAGTGCTGCTGAGCTTAAGGAAGATGCAAGCGAAGGGCAGCAAAGGTTTGCATCACTTTTGCATAGTTTGCATGTGCCATCATCCTAAACCCCCATTCCCCATTCCAGAAGGCGAAGCCCGAGCCCACGACGTGGGCGAACAAACTTGTGTATGGAAGTCACTGATGTGCGTGGACGTTGCTCCGATGTGCAACTTTGTCGAAACGTCCAAGAAGGTCTGACAAATGTGTTTCAAGAACCCGATAAGTTTCTCCCATCGAAACCAAGAGCTCACAGAAGCGAAGTTTCAGCGGCGCTCTTTGCGATGGAAGGAGTTCAAGAGTTTGAAAATAAGAGGCAATCTCCTAACCTTTCTCGCGCTCTCAAGACACGTCCAAGGCTTGAACAAGACTTTGAGCCAGACAGTGGTCTGGCAAGCATTCGGCAAAATTCAGCATGATGCCCGAGACACTTGATGGAAGGCGTCACGCGTAAGGAAGCGGGAGTCTGCCCTGCTCTTGCAGCTCCTAACAGTCACTTACGACCCAAGTCCACTGAGATATTCGCACATAGTCGCGCATTAGCAGCATTCGAAGTGCTGGCGCAAAGACTGCACAAGCCTGGTGTTCCGAGTTCAGTGCCATGCAGTATACATCCAAATCGTTCAGAAGACATCGCGAATTATTCAGCACGTCACAAGAGGCAGAGCCTTGCAAGCTATGTCCTCAGGCAGATCTCGACAAGTACAAGCCCCACCACAATGCGTCAAGCTCGGAGGACTTCCAGTCGATTTCAGGGTGCCGTGGAAGCGTGGAATACCCGTGGAACCCAGTCCGAAGGCCATCCGCGATACTATGCCACTAGAATGCCACATGCCAGCATGCTGCCACAAGATGCCAGAAAAGGTTGGAATCATCGTGGTGGATGGGCGAAACTTGCGGGCAAGCGCGGACCCCGGCAACAATCCCGAGATGGGGCAGAGTTCTTTTCTGCGTAGTCCTGCCCCAAAGAGAACCCTGCTCCAAGCCACTTGTTTCCCCGAGCGAAAGCTTGGCCAGTTGGTGCCTGATGAGGGGGTGCTTGGGCTTCAAACCCTGAAAAACTAGCTTACCGTTTGCTTTGATCATCAGCCCTACACCTCACCATCGAGCCGAGGCCTGCAACCTGTCCCAGAGCGGGGTCTGGCGGCCATGAAGAAGCATCGGGGCCCAGAAAAGGATGACGATGTTGCTGCTGTTTCGGGGAATGAAAGCAAGGTGACTTAAAAAGTCCTCGCAGCAACCCTCGCACGCTCAACTCCGGAAGTCTCAGGGCGCTCACGGACATCGCCCGGCGCAAGTGCCAGGGTGTCTTGCAGCGCTTCGACCAAGCCAACAAGGTGCCCCGGAACCTCCCCGCCTCTGCCATATCTGCCATATCTGCCATATGGGCCATACATGACCGCCTCCCCCGCCCACAACCAAGCCTGAAGCCAGGTTCTGGACGAGCGGCCAAAGAGCCTCACGGCCTATGCGGACTACGTCAAGGCAGCGGGCCACGTGGTGCACTCGTGGCTGTGGCATGTTGTTCAGTCAAGTCGGTGCCGACAACAGTTCCAGTACAGCTTTGAGCGGGGCCAATCCGGCAGCTGTCACGTGTTTATTCAATGGCTCATATGGCTCTCAACAGGTTCAAGCACTGAGGCTTGGACTACCGAAGCCGCCGAACTCCACATCCCACCAATTCTCAAGCTTACTTTAGACCTTCAAACCATACAACACCGGCACGTGCAATTACCGTGTGTTGCGCATGCGCTTTGGCTGCCGCTGGAGAGCCGTTCTTGCGCTGGGATCACTACTGCTGGGAGGCTCGTATTGAATGTCCATGGCTTCGGATGCCAGCTTCAGGATTTGTGCCTATACAGGGTTTAGCGCCCCATTGCCGTGAGTGTAGTGAGTCCCCGACAGTTTGCAAGCCGACTGTACGCAGCAGCAGAATCCACTGTAGAAACGACCTAAAACTCTGAGAGTGATCGCCACGTGGTCCGTTCAACGCCGTGCTCCAATGAGCCTGCACTGGCTGGCCCTGCCCTTGAACTCGCTGCTGATGCGTGTTTGTTTTGCATAGTGTCAGCAACCGACGCCATCGTTCTTTTATGCAATGCATGCCCCATCCCATGCCTTCTCGGTGATGCTGAAGACCAAGCCTGTCCTTGCACACTTTTTGAGAAGCAGTGACACAGTGCTCTCCGCCCTCCTCCTCGGCGATTGCGCCCTGTGACCCTCGGCGCAACTCCACGTCCAGGCGCTGACAGCGACGATTTATTTTGCCGAAAGCTTCCGCGCTCACCCTCAGCTGTTTTGCCTTGGGGCCAAGTGCCTGCACTGCCTGCACATGCAGTGCCAATTCTTTACAGGCTAGAAACCTTCCGAAGCGCAGGGGCCTGCACCGGTATTGATGAGGCGTACCCTCTCCTCTCTTACTGCCCGTCCGGCTCATGCCATCGCCTGTGGAAGCTGTGACCAGTTCTTAGTTTGGCCATGCTTTGCCTTAGCAGGTTCCTTTTGTCCTTTAATGAGTGGGAGTGACATATGTGGAGGCATTGCTTCAAGGGCTTCGCTTAGCTTCGTCCTTGTAGCACCCTTTTGGACTTTCGGATGCTGTCTCCAAGAAACCCGCGAGGCTTGGATCTTGGAGATTGGATGGGGCTTGCGGAATCCGCAGAGAGGACCTCGTGAGAGCTGACTGGGAGCGTTGGGATATCTGACTCCTGCGAGGAGGGCTGCGAGGTCGGTGCTGGCTGGTAAAGTCCGGGCTGTGCGGAGGAAGTGGGAGCTGCTGGGCAGCCTCGTGTCAGCACAGAAGCCTTCATGCTTTCATGGCGCTGGCAGTGTGTCAAGTTTGTCCCCACCTTCTTGGCTTTGATGACATGGATGAGGAAGCTTCTAGTGCCACTGCACGCCCAACAGGATTGCAGGTGCATGCCGGTGCTGCCTCAGGGGGCCATTTGTCATAATATCATGTTAAGAAGATTCTGAGGTTACTCACCTGAGAGGACGGAGGAGGTCCTTGCCACTCGGTCCCATGCTCCAAGCATAGCGGAGCTTCTGGTGTGCCGCATGAGCGCATGTGATGCATTGAGTGTGAAGCTTGGGACGGGCAGTTTGCAATAGTCTCCCAATGAGCACACGTCAGACTGGCAGACCCAATCAAGAAATCTGGCTGTGAGAATCATTGAGTTAAGGAGGCTCAAAATCTCACACCCTCATGAGTCACGTATAAGAGCCCAGCGGTCCTGCGGTGAGAAGAGAGGCGAGCTTCAGCCTGCCAGCGTCACTGGCAGAGCGCTGTGGCCTTGCCAAAGTTGAAGGCAGCGGAGCTACCGAACATTTTGGTGTGTGTGAGAGCGAGTCACGGATGGTCATGGCAAGGATTGGCAAGGGCTCAACAGGGCTTTTGCCGGCAAGGTAGCAGAGGTTGGCGGTTAAGGGCATGCGCAGTGGCGCAGTGCGATCATGTCGACAGAGACCACCCGTTGCTTGCTGCTTCGTTGCACGTGAGAGGCCAGAGCTGGCTGGATGCCGTAAATCTCTTGCGGAAGCAGTCCGAGGCCATTGAGAGTTTGGGGTCCAAAAGCAGTAACTCAAGCACACAGAACACCGGACACGGCCAGAGAGCGATCAGTCCAAAGGCTTGAAAAGACGCCCCATCCTGAGCCCTTGCACACAACCAACAGGCATATGAGCCACTGCTGAGCGACTGAACCACTGCTGAGCGCATGCATTCAACAGACAAGTTCGCGTATTCGCTTTTCCAGGAACTGGGCGAAGACCCGGCAGCCCTTTGGCAACGTGCTCCTTGGATACAATCTCGCTCTCGTGGACCTTGAGGGCCGACTGGAGAGCCAAGATTGCAACTTGCGAGAGCCGAAACCCGAGGTCGAGCGGCATCCAATCGCTGAATACGTCCACGTGCAGTGTCAGAGTCGACATGGCTGCAAGATCTCAAGCACATGGTGTTGAACGGCGTTGGAGGGTGAAGTGTCGTGCATTGAACCTGTATTGCTGCTGGAAGCACGAATCCAGCACACGGCAGGGCTCGGGTCCCGCAAGCAAAAAGCAGATGGCATGACAGCAGAGAATGTATCTGATGTTGGTGGAGGGTCAAGGGCTCAATCAACCACCGCCAAACCCTGAGATCTGAAGGTTTCCGAGGGGTCGCCAGTATCGTGAGTCTTTCTCCCCGCGAAACATGCCCCCAGAAGCGAACGTGAGCCCAGGCTGCGGGCGCCGAATTCCGGACAGCTTTCCGGCAGAGAAGGCAACACCTTGTAATGTCCTTGGGCTTACAGGCCAATCAAATATGGCCCAGGAGCCCAACCTGTCCGAGGAGGAGCCGCAGCCAGAAGAGAGGCGCGGAGAAGCACATCATACCTCATTCTCGGCTCGTCAGCATCATTCAGCCAGATTCGTGCCCTTCCGCAAGTGGCAAAAAGCCAGCCAAAAAAGTCGTCCCAAAACCAATCATCCTAGAATGCCTGCACAAGTTGCAGGCAACCTCGGTCTACTTCCTGAATTCTGAAGCACAAGAATTTGGATCTCCCAAGGCAACCCTCGACTCCTTCAACTACTTGGCCCCCAGAGCCATGGTCCAAACCCACCTAACTCTCAATCTTTCGCCCTGAACCCAGGTTTTCATCTGGGTTTTTTCTTAAAGGATCCAAGGATTGTTTTTTGTTGGCGAAAGCCCCCGGACAATACAAACTTACTGGACTCGGCTTTGAGCTGTACAGCCTTGCCGACTGCTTTGTCGGATTGTGTCGGCAGATCTCAGCGCGCAAAGCCTGTAGTTTGGAGCATCTCACCCAACCATGAGTGCGAGCCGCCAAAGCCGTGAGCGAGGCCATTTGTCCGTGCTGGATGGTTCCGTGGGCCGCGAGGGCCAGTGGTCTTCGTTTTTCGCACCTGGCCCATGATTTTGTCCTGCGCGCCAACTGTTTCTGTGTTGCTTCAGCAGCGTCCTATGTCCAAGGGTACCCCAAATAAACGGCCATGTTAGGAGCCCACAAGGGACCATCACCTTTGTAGTTCCTAGTTACCGGGAATATTCGGAATATTGGGTGCCTCATGAAACCTTCGAGGGAAATGGGACCCCACACGCCCATCTCAGGCTGCCCCGACTGTGCCGCTGTCTCACGCTGGTATCGTGCAATGCACCCTGAGGCCTAGGGCAGGGTTTTCGGCATTGAGGATGTTTAGGGTTAGGGCTTAAGGCTGTTTAGGGGCTTGGGGTTTAGGGATGTTTAAGGTTTTGGTTAGTCAGCTGAGTCAATGAATAGGCAGCAGGGCCCACTGTTTCGAGCCGAGTTGGCGGATTGATCAACGTAGGCCGGCGGAGAACATTGTGCTCTACACTGGTAGTAAATCACTCTCACGATGTGGGAGTTTACGAAAATCAGGGGCCTCTTTTATAGACCCCCAAATAATGGGATTCCCGTAAAAAAAACAACCCCGGAAGGTATCCCTAATAGCGAAAACCCCCATGTAGAGTGTAGGAAGAGTTGAATGGAGACTTGCACGGCCTCGTGCGAGGTGACGCTGAATCCTAACCGCTGGGGCCGCCTCTGCGGCGAGCAAGAGGAGCCCCCAAGTTTTTTGAGAAGTTCGGAGTTGGCGCCGGAAACGGAAGGTCAATAGATTTTGTACACTTTTTTCCTGGCATCTTGTGGCGATGAGCTTCCGAACTCTGGGGAAACCTGACAGAAGCAGGAAGCTTCAACGCTTCAATGCTCCGCAGTTCCACTTCCGCCCGCAGAAATCTGCACATGATCCTATTCCCTTGTTCGCAGGATCTCAAGGCCTGGCTTGCAAAGTATCTGGGCATCCGGCTGCGAAGCTCGGCGGAGAGGGGACCGAGCACGGATGAACCATGTAGTTGCCATGCCTTTTAGTCATAGTCTGTGTTATGTATGTAATATATGCAGTGTATGTAATATATGTAATACATCTAATACATGTAATTCATGTCGTACATGTAATACATGTAATGCATGTAATAAATGTAATGTATGTAATACATGCAATACATGTAATACATGCAATATATAGTCAATATCTGTATTATGTGTAATATGTGTATATGTGTAATCTGTGTAATATGTGTAGAAAATGCAATACATGTAACATATGTAATATGTGTAATATATAGAATACATGGAAGATATGTAATATCCGTAATATCTTCAATATCTGCAATATCTGTATGTAATATCTGTAATATCTGTAGTATCTGTAATATCTGTAGTATCTGTAATATCTGTAATATCTGTAATATCTGTAATATCTGTAGTATCTGTAATATCTGTAATATCTGTAATATCTGTAAGTTGTGTGTATATAGATATATATATATATATATTTTAGACGTAGTAGATGCAATGGATGCAATAGATGTATTAGATGTAATGGATGAATAAGATGTAGTAGAAGAAATAGATGTAATAGATGCAATAGATGAAATAGATGCAATGAATGTAATAAATGTAATGGATGTAGTGGATGTAATATGTGTTATTTGCATAGTATTTTTAATGTGGTGATATATGTAAGGTATGTAGTATGCAAGATGCGTGGTATCTGCGTACTACATATGCAGCATATGTTTTCATGTGTAATGATGTAACATATGCATGTTGGCTCTCACGAGGTGTCTGCCTTCCACTGGATTGGGATGCTCGGCGAAAGCTACAACCTTAGGCTGCGGGTGCCAGCTGCAAAACTGAAAATCCCAGTGTCCAGTTTGCTTGCCTGCAGGACCCACGGATCTACCTGAATGGTAATGGGATTTTTGATTTATACACCCCCTCCCCGCCCCCCCCCCCCCCGCCCTGCCGCCCCTCGCTCGCCCCAAACCCCCCAAACCCCCGAAAACC